TTTTATTTCTAATTATAAATCTATTTTCTTAACAAAATAAATTAAAAATGTCCATAAATCATATACATAAATAAAAATTGTCTGAGGAAAATTTAAAAAAATTACAAAGTGCCAATAAAAGTATTTTGGAGTATTTTTTTAGTATTTTTCTCAGATAAAAAGTTGCGCATAATTTTAGGATTAGAAAAGAGAATATGAAAAGAAAATTATTGTGAATTTCAAAGTGCTAGCTTGAAAAGTCAAATAAAAATAACATAATTGTAATCATATTTAAAAATACATATACAATATTAATTATATATGAATATAATATCTTTTTCTGGAAAAAATACATGTAGCATACTTTTAGGCGCTACTAATAAAGTGAAAAACTCAGTGTGTTTCGTGTATATAGTTCAACGGTTATTTATTAGTTTAATATATATATTAATATTTTAAATACTTAAGAATAAGATAGATAATTTCGATGAATTCGTAGCCAAATAGAAAAGTTTGTGTAGGAGTTGTGAAACATCTACAGCTCGAGATGAAGTGGGTGGATAGAGCATTTTGCTAAGAACTAAAATAGAGTCGAAAGTGCTGTTAAATTGAATGGGCGTGGTCCAGAGTTAGCGCCCAGGGCAGGCTGAGGGCTGGAAGAGCTGGTTCCGCTACGCATCGACTACTGCAGGTAGACTGTAAAGAGAGCGTCAGGTGAGATGTGTTTTGCTTGAGTTGAATAGCTGTGATAGCCAGAATCCAGGTGGTGTTTGCTTGGGCAGATTTTGGGGAGGGCAGGTGGCGGTGCTGATGGGGATGGCGGTGTTGGTGGTGCAGTGGTGTTGGGATTTACATAAAAGCAGTGCAAATTGAGTGTGCTACAGATGCGCATGCCGTGTGCTTTGGTTTCAAACTCGTTTATTGCTTTAGAAGCTGCGAGTTCCACATAAATATATATACACATATACATATGTATATATTTGTATATATGAATGTATGCATGTTGACTATATTGATGTAGATAACATGAATAAATTAGGTTAAGACGAAACTATCGATAAATGCTGCATATGACTTAGTGATCTATATAGCTATAGAGTGTAGAGTGGGTCTAGGCCTATGTCTACACCTCCAGCAGGCGATTGAACATGAGCGGATCCTGTATATCGTAGTCCTGCGCCCGGGACAAGGACGGACGTCGGGCGGCCACATGGCGTCGCACTTTGTAGCCACCGCTGTAGGCGGGTCTGGGCGGCGGCGGTGCGCTGTACGTGTATTTGGTTTTCTGCACCACTGGCGGCAGGTACTGGAAGGGAGCCACCTGCTTGTGCACCTGCTTCTCAATGGAGTAGGTGACGGGCGCGTTGCTATTGCTGGCGTTGGGGCCCTTGCGCTTGGCCACCTCCAGGGCGGCTATGATGGGCGACAGATCCTTGAGCGCATTGCTTTTGCTCGCATGATAGTTGTCCACTTTGTACTCGTTGTTGCTGGGCGCTGCCGGTGGTGGCGGTGGGCCAGCAGCTGCTGGCGGATAGTCGTAGCCCTCATTCGGATGCTTCTGTATGTACGCCTCCTCCGCTGTCTGCGGCCGCTTGGCCATTTGGTGGTAAATGTCGGCGGGACCCTGACTGGAGGGGCCGTAGGCTGCCGTTATGGACTCCGTGTGAGAGAGAGATTCTAAGGGGCCCAGATTATTGGGCAGCGGCACTCCATAGCTGTTGTACAGATCGGCCTGCTCCACATTGGAGCCATCGGATCCGCTATTCGTATTCAACGCCACCGTCTTGGATGCCGTGTATTCCGTCTTGCCATTGGGCAGCATGCTCAAGATCTCCTGCAGCTGCTGCGCTGCTCTGCGCGCCTCCTCGTCCGAGAGCTTCTTGTGGCGTCCATAGATGTTGAAGTCGTCTGTGCCGGCTGTGGTCACTGCAGCCAGTGTATTGAGTGTGTGTTGGTATGTGTGTGTGTGTGTGTGTGTGTTGGTTTGTTGTGTATGCAATGAGTGAGATTTTATTAGATTTACCAATTAAATATTTGCTTTGCGTTTTCTATTTACATTTTGCATGTGTGAGTTTGTGTGAGTGTGTTTGTGTGAGTGTTATGAGTTGTTGGCTGACATTTTTACAGACGACGTTGATGCTTGATTATAATGAATATTATTATGAAGTGTATTTTAAGTTTTATACAATATTACAATGTGTTCAATGGATATATTATTATGATTTGATTTTAATATTTATACATTATTAGTATTTCATTAGTTGATGAAATAATGGAGTATATAATAGTTAAATATTACAGAATGATATCTGTGAACACTTATGGTTATAGTTATATTAAATTGGTCTGAGGTTCGTATTTATAATCGGAAATCTCTATGCTGTTGCTTAAAAGTTTCCTAAATATATAATTTCAAGTATTTTATTCTCGACTTTAGTTTTATCATTTCAATATAATGGAACTGAATGATATAAGCGATATTTCATCTAACCAAGTTTTAGCTTTGACAAAATTTGATGTCTATAAAGTTTAATCGACTTTTCAGTTATCAACTGTACTATATTGAGTCGATATAAGATATAGAATACAGCAAAGGTCGGTTGTCCTAAAGATATCAATAATTGATTGCATTAAATAGAGCAATATATTCTCGATTCTACCGAAAATACTTACAGTTATATACTTATATA